ATTCTCATAGTTTCATTTTCTTTTTATCAAGTACTAGTGTTTTCTCAGTGTTAGCAAGCTCAATTATGCTTGAAAATTGCAGGTCTTCAGAAACACAATGTTTGGTCCAGAAGGCCGTCCCCAACATTGTTGTGCGTGGCTTGGAGCAGCTTGCTGCTTTCCAGAATGTGCTTCTTCCATTATTCCTGAAGAGGTGCATATTTTAACTCACTTGTCTTTAAGTTCAAGCATTATTTTGATGTACAAAGAATACTGAAGACATGCTTTTGCAAAATGGCTAGTTTTGAGGAATTGTGAATAGGATGAGGTGGTGCATCATTATTGATCTTTACTCAACCGATAGGCCTCTAATGCTACGATAGTTGATTCAAAAGCAAGAAAGTTTTTGGGTACACTCTGGAACATGAAAAACTCTGGACCATCACGAAGATCAATAATTAGGTTGTAGAAAACAGTTTTCTCAACCTGTGTGAACCCATTAGACTTAGACCTTTGTTGCATGCATATGTTCTCTTGCAGCTTGAAAACCTGAAAGCATCTAGTTCTGTCTCTGTTCGGAAAAACCTATTAAACCAACCTTTTACAGTGTCATCAATAATATTTGAGTTTTTTTTAAAACATATCTCAGCTATGTTAATGCAATGTCTCTATTGTTTCCAAAAAAAATGCCATGTCTCTATTGTTTGAAATATTTATTTGTGAATGCTCCTTTGATTAACATGTAGGTCAACAAGATTGGCAGAGATTCTATCTCATATGTTGAGTCCCTTATCGAGTCTATAATGGGTGGATTGGAAGGTTTGATAAATATTCTAGATTCAGAAGGTGGATTTGGTTCATTAGAGATGCAGGTACAGAATTTCTGAACTCATAGTTGTTGTGCTATCTGTTATATCTAATGCCCTCACTTTCTATTCTTCAGCTTTCGCCAGAGCAAGCAGCTATCCGATTGAATAATGCAACAAGAGCAAAAGCTGTTTCAGGCTTGTTAGCACCAGGGCATGAGAGCTATCCTGATAATAGTTCTTCAGTTAAGATGTCAGTCAATTTTCTACTTCCTGGCACTGTTTAAATACTATTGAGGTTCCATTGCTCTAATTGTGGATGTATGAAAAAACAGGCTGGAAGCTGCTATGCAAAGGCTGACAAGTCTATGCTCTGTGCTAAATGACATGGAGCCTATTTGTGTTCTCAATCATGTTTTTATTCTCCGAGAGGTACAGTAACAAAAAAAGATTACCACCACCTTTCTTTTATGTCAAGAAGTTGTGATTTATTCCGTGTATTATACTGTTGATGCAAATAATCACATTCAAGGATAAGGATTGGATGTGCCAGTCTTCATTTATTTTATCATAAGCAGAGATGGATATGTTAGGTATTGTGGTAATGATAATTTGGATGGTGGTTCATGACTATTAAGATGGCGGCTTGCTAAATTTATTATTTTCTTGTAAAACAATAATCTTGAGATGAAAAAGGATCTGATTACATACATAAACAAAAAGAAAATATCTTGTTCCAGAAGTTGCTCTCTGGAAAGACAACTAGACCATGTTTCTTAATATATATAATACCGCCTAGATAAGTTCATTTTCATCTTAATGGTTTGTCTATTATTTTTTAATAGATTTTTTATGCATATTTTGTTTGTTTCTAAAACTGGGTATGAAAATGTTGTTGTTTGACAGTACATGAGGGACTGCATCATAGGTAATTTTAGGAGAAGATTTCACAGCATGATTAGAACTGATAGCTGCCTTCAACGACCATCAGTCATAGAATCTCTTCTAAGAAGACACCTGAGCATCATCCATCTGGCAGAGCAGCATATCAGTATGGACCTTACTGAAGGTATACGGGAAGTGCTACTTGCAGAGAGTTTTACTGGGCCATTTCCCAACCTGCAAGTATTTGAGACACCAACAGAAACACATGGAGGAGGATCTGCCATAGACATAATATCTAATTGGTATATTGATAACTTCGTAAAGGATGCATCTCGCACTGGAGTTGTTTTTGATGCATCTCAGAATTGCTTTAGGAGCTCACAGCCTATTGGTGGTGGATATTTAGCGGAAGCATTCACAGATAAAAGAGAACTCAAAGCACTTGTTCGTTTATTTGGTGGTTATGGAGTAGATAGGCTGGATAAGTTGTTAAGGGAACATACATCAGCTCTACTAAATTGCATTGACTCAGCGCTTAGGTCAAACCGCGATGCCTTAGAGGGCCTTGCTGGAAGTGTAAACTCTGGTGATAGGATTGAAAGAGATGCAAATCTAAAGCAGATAATTGACATCGAAACATTGGCTGACTTCTGTATCCAGGCAGGTCAGGCAATAACTTTTCGCCGGTTGTTGGTAGAAGCTGTTGGAGCTGTTCTTGAAGAGAAAGTACCTCTCATATATTCTCTGCTCAAGGGATTAGCTATGCAGTTGCCAGAAGAGGTACCTGATAAAAATGAGATCATTAGACTAAGAAGGGTTGCTAGCAGTGTTGGTGTCGGTGACAAACATGATGCCGAGTGGGTTCATTCTATTCTGGCAGAAATAGGTTCTGCTAATGATAATTCTTGGACCTTACTTCCATATCTTTGCGCTGCATTTATGGCATCCAATATGTGGAGCACTACTGCTTATGATGTCAATACAGGTGGATTCAGTAACAATTTGCATTGCTTAGCAAGGTGAGCACTTGCTACCTATCGGTTATGTTTGACTGGTATAGAAATATCCCACCCCTTCCGTCCTCTCTCTCTACTGATATCTCAGATAAAAAACCTAGTGGTTTCCTTCATGTAACAGAAAGAGAAAAACCTAGTGATCGTGGTGAATATGCCATTCCACTGCTACCTCTAGAGTTTGTGAGATCTTCTTGGCTATCTCTGGTTTGATGTTTGCTTACATGTTATATATTTTTTCCATGAGAAACATATACAATTTTTAAGTTTAGAACTTATGTTATATATTTTGAAATCCATTGCAAAAACGAATATTTTGCTAGTACTTTCTCTAAGTATGTATCAATGTGTCTTTGAAGAATTCCTTGCCAATTTTGAGAGTCTAGATACTGGAAATATTGCATGGTAGTGTTAAAAACAAGTTTGGAAATGCCAAATTTCCTTACTATGGATGGTAACAAATTTACAAGGCAGCAGAAAAAACTAACAGGAAACATTGTCATATAATTTGTTTTCCTGCTTACAGCTATTATGCACAACTAAGTTCCTAAAGCTTCTCCTAGCATCGATATTAGTATATTTTTTATATCGTAGGCTATTGACAGTAGAGGGCGTAAGCGTTAATATTGGGTGCTCTGAATTGCATGTAACTGCTCTTTGTGTTCTCCCAGGTGTGTAAGTGCTGTGGTTGGAGGAAGTGAATACACTAGGATGGAAAGGGAACATCGGAGAAGTTCACTTTCAAATGGGCATATGGATGAGCTGCAAGAGCCTGAATTACTGAGCCGTGTCTCAGCTGAAGCAAATATTAAATCTGCTATGCAACTCTATGTCAAATTGTCTGCAGGGTTAGTCCTGGATTCATGGAATGACACTAGCAGGTAAAGTATTATGTTTGTCCAATTTGTTCCTGAATGTCATCTTGGTTGGCTAGGTTTTCTCATACTACCCTCTATCCCAGTCCATTTGCATGAATGAATTGCTTAGCCATGTTGGACAGCGTACTGGATGTGGCACAGATACTAGGTGTAACACTAGATATTGCTTACTGTTTGGTGCTGCATATGCCGCTCATTTGCCCCAGCATGCTAATGATCCACTAAATTGCCATTTCTCAGTAAAACCATTTAAGCAAAAACTAAAACCAAATGAATATGCAATCCAATAGGCCATCTAGATAGATGGAGATTCTAGTTTTCTTGGAGGCCAGGAAATTATTGATTGTCTTGTTTCAAATACTTTAGTAAAAATCAGTTATGATTTTGGTATGCTAATGGTTTTGTGGTCTGCGTTGGTTGCAATTTTCTTACAGGCCATACATTGTTCCAAAGCTAATATTCCTCGATCAACTCTGTGAGATGTCCCCCTACCTCCCAAGGAGCACCTTAGAAGTTCACATACCTTACACGATTCTGCGTTCAATCTACCATCAATTATATGGAGCTTCACTGATGGCCACAGAACCAATGGAGCCATCCCCAAGGCAGTCCCCTCTGATATCTCTGGCTCATGCATCACCATCAATGAAGCAAAATCGAGCAGACACAACGCCCAGGTCTCATACTTTCGAGCCTGGATACCACAGTTCATCTGGGTCCCAGTACGATGAAGGTTATGAAGGGGATAGAAGAACTGGAGAGAGGCAACTCCGAAGCATGAGGCGATCTGGGCCACTAGATTACACTGGAACCAGGAAAGTGAAGTTTGTGGAGGGTTCAAGTTCTGGAAGCCATGGGGCTGGCTCAGGCTCACTACAGAGATTTGCTGTGTCAAGATCTGGCCCCCTATCCTACAAATAAGATCATGTTAACAAGTAACAACAGCATTCTACTGGCAATCATAGTTTGCCAGCATCAGTATCTAGCAATTTGTATTTGAGTGGACTCCAGTCAATGCTCCCATTCGTCTTTGTAGAGCATCTGAGCATATATGTTATTTAGCTCCTTTGCGTGAAGTAATATGTATTCTAGCTGTATTTACGTACCTAGTGCTCTTGTAAGTCTATATGTATGGTACCTATTGCTCTTGTAAGTAAACCCTCCTCTGTTGCTACATGAATTAGCAATGTGCTAGTTGTATGTCTGTTAATGTAAATGGATTGTATAATTGCCTTCTATCCCAGATGTAACGAACGACCAGAAACGTGTCAGCTGCTCAGAAAAATTGTGTTGCAACAGCCAACAAATAGTTTCTTAAAGTCCAGTTGTGATAAAGAGTGTAAGGAACTTGGATGTTCTGAATCCAGTTGGATGGAGTCCTCTTCGCCCATCTCGGTAAGTTGTTACTACTTGTCAATTCAATATGCTATACATTACTATTGGCACGGTCTGCATTGCAATCAATCTGCGAACGAAACTATATCTTTACAAATTCTTCCAACATATACACTTGCTTTCTTTTGTATATTTCTCGACCATGGTACTACAACAATTCTATACTGCTATTACACATGCAAATCCCTTACGGTTTACATATTTTAGTAACAAATCCTTATGTTGTGCATTTTTGTTATGTTCTCTTACATTTGTACAGTTAAGTGATTGGTTATTAGTGTATATTTGCAGTTTGCACGCATCAATTCCGTGCTACCGCCTCTGGAACTTGAGGTGCTTGATGGAGAGGAAGAAGAGGAAGGTGAAGAGCGCGATGATGGCGACGTGCAGGCTGGTGACGAGGTTGAAGTAGCGGTCCTGGAGTCCGAGGTAGCCCTCCAGGAACTCCTTCACCGTCTGCTCTGGCTGCCCTGGCACCTGGATCAGCTCCGTCCGGTCTCCCAGCTGCGAGAACATGAGCCCGTACACCGTCCATGCCGCCGGGTTTGCCCAATACACCCATCTCCACCACACCGGGATCATCTGCATCATTTGTTGTTGTTCATCAGGTTAGTCAAACATACAAATTTTCTTTTCTTCGCAAGCACACACAAATGTTCAAAACGAAATCTAAGACACGATCTCTGATTATGAAGTTGTGGGGTTATCAAGGGTAAACTTTTTATCAATTTTGTTAGGAAGAGGTCTGAGAATTTTAGATTTATCCTCCCTAGTAGAACCTAAATTTAAGGTTTTGACAAAAATTGGGGACTTGAAACAACAGAGTAGCAGGGTAGTAGTACCTGTCTTCCAATGATGAATCCAGAGAAGACATTCCAAAAGATGAAGATGAGGAAGGACAACCCAGCTGCTATCTCAATGTTAGGTGTTAGTGCTACTGTCATCATCCCATAGAGCGTGTAGTACAGGAAACTTAACACCATGTAGAGGGCAAACCAAAAGAACTTTGTGGCAGTCATTTGGAACCCAATCATTGGGTACACAATCGCTGAGAAGATGAATACTTGGACAAACATGTAAGGCAATTCAACTGCCACCTGCACACAAGAATCCAGCATTTGTGTTTAGAGTCCATTTCAAATCCTCTATTTTTCAGAATAGTTGTTTTTTTTATACAGATCTATATATTAATTACCTGAGCAATGGCGTACGCCATAGTGGAGTACATGCCTGCCGCCTTCTCTCTGTAGAGGACAACTCTTTCCATTCCTACAACTGGTTGTAAGATGCTGCAGTTCATGAAACCCAGAAATAGTGCTGACCCATACACAACCCCTAGTATGTTGAATACATCTTGCTCATCCTTACTGTTGCACAGGAGAACAAAGTTAGCATTTAACCAAAACAATATTGAAGCACTACAAGTTCTCATGAAATAAAAATATTTGGATAGCTATTCGTACTTACATGGTTGAGCCAATTTTCCAGAATACAATTCCAAACATAATTGACACAGCAAATGTGTTTATGAATCGGACAACGTTGTGTTCTGAATTTTTCCAATAAGCACAATTTTGCTTCCACAGGCATGCCATGCATTGTGCCCTAAAGTCTTGCCAATATTTGGGTGGAAAATGTAGATCCTCTGTGTTTGGTTCTGGTTTTCCTAGGTCATCAATTAGTTGCCTGTTCTCCCTGAAGAAACCATGTGTGATTTCATCATGTTTATCCTTTTCCTTCTTGTTCAAACAAGTTAGCAAAATAGTAATTTTTGCTTTATGATCGTATTGCGTTACCAGTATAGGGATGAGCGCTGATAAATTTCTGCATAGTCCACTCCAATCTCATATTCTGCTGTGCGCGAACTGATATCTAACATCCACGCTGCTGGGTTTTGCCCCTCTTTTATTCTAGGAACACCAGGTATAGCCTGCGACAAAAGAATTTTAAGACCTCTTCTCTCCATTTTGGAACAAGAACCCAATCTTAGGTAATCTTACCTCGAAATACTTTATCATATTGCTAGATAGGGGACCTAATGAACCACTGTATATGAGCTGACCTCCTCTCTTCATAAGTAGAAGCTGCGATCAATAAGATTGAACTCAAATTCAGAAGGACGACCTATGTACTTGTTCATAGGAAAGGTAAATTGAGCTGTGGTTCCTGAAATATTCTACTTGTCACAACTATCTTTAACACTTTAATGGTTGCTTGTGTTAAAAGAACATTTTAATGTGTGCTACTATTGAAGAAAGGGGAGCATAAATGTGAAGTCAATTAGTTTTGCTGTTTGATTTGACAAAAAGCACTACTTTTGGTGCTGTGCTTTCAATTATCGTTCAGTCATTCACCTGCCACTACTGGACTATTCTTTCTTGATTTTGTAGTGGAAAATATTTTTGACTCATTTATTGACTTACTCATACCTCGTCAAAAGATTCAAATATCTCGATGCTTGGCTGATGAATTGTGCAGACAACAGTTCGTCCAGTGTCTACTGTCTTTCTTACTGTTCTCATGACAATTGCTGCAGCACGAGCATCCAAACCAGTGGTTGGCTCATCCATAAATATAATGGAAGGACTAGCTACCAACTCAACAGCTATTGTTAGTCTTTTTCGCTGCTCAGCAGACAGGCCTGTCGCTCCTGCTAGGCCAACCATGGCATTCTTCAGTCCAGTTAACTCAACTAGGTCCATGACTTCATCTATAAACATCTGAAATATGTTTGAACATAAATATCATGAGATCCTATGTTTGATGTGAGCTTCCAACTATGTGAGAAAAAGGACAAGAGGTCAATGCACATACATTTCTCTGGTGAGATTTAACATTTGAAGGAAGGCGAAGCCATGCAGAAAACTGCAGTGATTCATATACGGTGAGATTGGGGGAGTGAATGTCACTCTGTTCACAGTAGCCTGAGATCCTTGAGAATGTCTCCTGCTTCTTTGGGTAGCCTGCTATTTTTACAGTTCCTTCAATGTATCCTCCAGTTTTTCTTCCAGCCAAAACATCGAGCAGTGTTGTCTTTCCAGCACCAGTGATCCCCATCAGAGCTGTTAGCACCCCTGGCCTGAAAGCACCACTGACATCTTGTAGCAGCTGAAGCTTTTTATCTGTTACTCCATATTTTGTCATCTCCTGTCAAAGATATTCACAGTTGATTAAGATCAAGAGTGGAGCAACAGATTGGATGTGGTTAACATGATTAAACTATTTGGTAATGTCTGATGTGGTCAAGATCTTACCTTAGGCATGTCAACAAAATAATTGATATGATCAAATACAAGGGAGAGGGGCTGAAATGGGAGGATGACTTGGTCCGTTGATGCCGTGCCATTTCCAACTATCTGGCTGTTGTAGTCTACTTTCACCTTTGTGGCATTGATGTTAACTTGATGCTTGTGTGGAGCTGCATATGATAACCAACAAGAGTGAGTACCATTTGTATTTCTATTTCAGTATCTATGAGGCTTAGTGTAGCTTGGCGTACATACATCTCATGTATTGTAGTGCAAATATGCTGAGGATGTTGAAGACCAGCGAGAATCCAAACAAAATGCTCACACAGATCCAGTACCAGTGCCACTCTGTGAGCAGCCCCCTTACCTTGAGGATCGTTTCACCAACAGTATTTGCATTTGCGAAATGAAATTCCTATAAGCAGAGATCATCATCATTAGGAATTTTTAAACAGCTTTGATCAAGAATTTTACTCTACTTTTTGGTTAGCTATCTCAAGTGTTGAAATGAGTTCTTACTGTAGCCCATCTGTCGTCAAGGAATTCATTCAGGGCAACTGCATTCTGTGCATAGGTGAATGGGGACGTCCAATATCCCCAGCGCAGCCATGGTTGGAGGTTATCTGGACAAGTGTACAAACTGGTGAGTATCATTACTGCACATAAGCCTTAAATTGTTTCCTGTAGTACAGAGTTGCCATACTTTTCAAGGTACTCTAAGCAAAATCGTCTAACCTTTTGATATGACAAAGCCTCCAAGTATGTAGATTGCTATAAGAGCTGCAGTCCCCAGCATATTAGCCATTACTTGTGTTCTTCCTATGGCTGCCAAGAAGCGATACAGGCTCATTGACATTTGATGCATGGCAAAAAGTACCACAAAGTGCTGGATAAATCTGTCAGAAGCAAGAGAAACTTCCACCTGTTACTTCAATCTATTCAAGTAAGAAAATCCTTATCCTTATTGTTTAAATATAGAACTTGCTAGGAGGAGTACCTGACAAAGGAAGGTGCGTAGCCGATCACATAGTAGGTTAAGCCGGTCCAAAGACCTGTCTCTACAAATGATATTGGCAGACTAAGGAGGAATACTGAAGAAAGGAGTGCCCATCCTGGCAATGCTAGTATTTCTCTTTGCTTGTAGAAGATGGGGAGCCGCTTTATTGTCATTGCAATTTCAGTCATGCCATTGAAGTTTACTATGACAACAGCCATAAAGAGTGCTCCCATGTACTTATTGGCATCAAGTACAGTATCATGTCTCATATTTGTCCGGAGAAAAAGAGTTGAGATCACTAAAGCGAGAACAGTTATCTGTATGGTCTTGAATATATGCACTGGAGAGTTTCTTTTTAGGAGCAGCACTTCCCTTGAAAAGCATGCCTTGAAAATATTCCAGCTGGAGATCATGCGACTTGTGCTTGTTTTTACCTCCTTGCTCTTTCCGGCATTAGTTGATTCAAAATGATCATTTTCTACGAGTCTTGGGAGGTACGAGGTACGGAAGGACTCTGCAAATTTTTCAATTGAATGGTATTGATACTTATTTGCGTTGCCTATCCAGTATTGTTTTTGGTCCATCTTCGAGGTCACCTGACCAAATGAGAAAGTTACTGTTAGTATTATGTTGTTATGCACAAGTACCTATTAGAGAATAATTGATTTTGGGAACACAAGAAAAACGTGGCTATCCTGAAGTTGCTCTGTAAGGAGATCAACTGTTAGCAATGTTTTTATTTGACAATTTTTCTTTATGATAGGAGTAATTGATAATGGAGTACCTCTTGAAGGAAATCTGCTACATTCTTCCTGCTGGGGCATTTGAATCCCATAGTTTCAAAGAAATCTGTAGCATTTTCTCGAGGACCATGGTACACAATTTGCCCCTCACATAAAAGGATTATGTCATCAAATAACTCCAATGTCTCAGGTGGTGGTTGTAGCAAGGAAATAACCATTGTGAGATCCATCAAGTGAGCCATTTGTTGCAGAAACTTCATGATCTCAAATGTGGTGGAGCTATCTAGACCAGTTGATATATCATCCATGAAGAAGCATCTTGCAAGACCAACTAGCATCTCGCCTGCATCAACGAAGCACCTGTAAGTATGTCGTTTATCTGGTCCTGCTCTTTCTCTGCTTACTTGCTGCCATCTGGCTCGATGGCTAGAAGCATTTTACCATGCAGATTTCTACGATGATAAGGACTTTACTTTTCTTTCTTTCATACAATAATTAAGTTGTTGAGATGATAAAAGTTTTCTTTCCTATACCGGACTAATTGAATGTACTCTTAAGTGGTAATAGAGGATGATGATACGAGCAGAAAACGTAGTAGAAAAAGATACAAATATTTACTGGAGAAGTGATAATAGAGGATGACGAGAGAAACAAAATACATAGTAGAAAAAGACAAAATGCTTACCGATTGTAGCTCTTTTCTTTTGTCCTCCTGATATGCCTCTTCGCATCTCGTCTCCCACTAGGGTATCAGCGCATTCGGATAAACCAAGTATCTGCATGCACTCAATTTTTATGGCTGTGCCTCAGGATAAATAATGAATCAAACAAACAACACACTAACCTTGATAATATAGTTTGTTGTAAGGTTGCTTCCTTCTCCAAAGGTTGTGGCCTGTGCAAATCAGCTTTTTAAGTGATGATAACTAAATAAGAAATGAGTTTTATGCAAAAAAAAAAGGTTAACCACCTTAATAAAAGAGTCAAGTTCTTGGTCCACTCTATTGATGACACCTTTTTTTCTTCTAATTGCTTCTCCCAGCATCTCTAAGGTGGTCATTTCAAACAGGAATGAGTTAGTCTTTATGCCATACAAAAATTAACATACCTTAAGTACGTCCATGAAAATTTCATGAGTTACAGCACCCAATGTCTTTTAAATTGTGAAATAGAATAGGGTACACAAAAGTCATATCTTGTTTGTGAATTGAATAACACGCCATACAGAAGATGTTGTCTTACCAAATTCATTATTAGTTCCCAACATCTTGGATGAGAAGTCAATAGTTTCTCTCACTGTCATTTCAGCATGGTGAAGATCATACTGGCTAACATAAGCATGTAGATACTGAGGTGTCGAGGAATTCACTTCTTCTCCATTGTAAGTGACCTTTCCTTTCATCTATTGAGAAATGTTACATCATGAAAGAAAATGCATTGTTTAGTCAATGCTACGCATTATGTTAAGTACATACTTTTAATGGAATGTACACAATTCACATTCACTTTACCTTCAGAGAAGAATCCAACTTTCCTGCTAATGCTTTTAATAAGGTTGTTTTCCCTGAACCAGGTGCTCCGAGAAGAAGTGTCATCCTGATTGCAGAATGGGTTGCAAAATTTCATTACCTCAGGTAAGATAATTAGTGCAATAATTAAAGTGATAGATCATAATTCATTTTTTATTTGAAATTTGTGAATAATGAACTTTCTGTTTCTGTACTTTTAAGAAGTTAGTCAAATTTCTTAGAAAATGATAGCAGTTATTTTCAGTTTAATTGGTATTTGTCTTAACCTCTTGCGGTCGTAAATAGTACTCGATGCTTACCTTGATGGTCGAATCGTTCCGGTTGCTTCATTTATAATTTTCATGGGCTTTTTCCTTGTGGTGCACATGTGCGCACAGGCTGCTAGTTCCTGCATATCAAATTGAAATGTTATTTCAGAAAGATGGTTTTGACTTTTAAATCGACTCACAACATAGTTGCAAAGCAAATGACGCTGCCATCTTGTCCTGGAAAGAGATTACGTACGCGTGCGTTCAATTTATACTGTGTTAAGATACAGACATGCTGTGTCAACTCGCTTTTATTTTTCCACACATTCTAATCCAGAAGTAGTTCTGCACTTGTACCTATGGACTCATGGTATATATTCGATATTTTTTCGTTGTCTTGTATTGTGGCTTGCACGTAATTCATCTGTTTGTCGTTTTGTAATACAGTTTTTCAAACTCCTGACCTAATGTGCAGGTAATCTGGGATCATTTTGGCTATGTTAGGCGCGCGGTGTTCAGGCTCTATGCACACACGTGTTGCGAGCTTTCGTGGGATATACTGGACACGTTGGCACGTGCTGTACTTTCTGAAAACGAAAGAAAATTGACCTGCCAAACTGCCAAAGGATCACTTCTCTCCGGAGAAATCAACTGATCATAAGGATTTCTGAATTCTGAAATGCATGCATGGAGAGAAAAGGGACAAACAGCTGCAGGCCTGCGGTCAAAACAGTGCTGGGCCATTAAACTGATCTAGTCAAGCTTGACATACTTGTCAGAATCTCGACATATATGATTAAACATGCCTCCAAGGATCTAGGATATCTGGTCAGATATCTGCATTTTGGCTATTCGCCAATCATTCCCAATAGCTGCACCAGAAACTTGGCACGATTGCAAACAGGAAGAAAATCTGGAATAATTCCGGCTATCAGATTATCAGGTAAGTATAGTGTCTTATGATCTCTTTTCTTAGATGGAGTATCTGCTGTAGCTAATAAATAGCTGCAGCTGGTGAACAGCACCACCGGAATCTGAAACCTTGGAATTTAGTTTATGGATGATCCAAAAGAGGCGTGCGTGCCCAGTTCTCTGATCTGTTTTCTCTCATCAGGGAAAGGAACAAGCAACAGCCCGGGGCCAAACGACAAGCCCACGATTAATGCAGATGCCATCATCTTCACTACCGATGTCGTCATCGATGCACTGTTCAGGCTGCTGGAGCTCTAGCTCGAGTAAAAGACAGGTTAGATATCTGTGCTATATACTGCTATACCTCTGAATTTATTACCGTGCATTATTTGACCTGGCTTAGTTATTGGGAATATCATCAGGATTTATGAATGATCTGTTGCCGGTTGGGTGAAAGAAGCCCATGTCATTGCTCTCTGTTTGAGGTAGACATGGTGGGGGCAGCCCTATTTATACGAATATATTGGCCTATTATTTAATTATTATATACGCCATAATATATCCCACCTTACTCTATCTTAATTTTGTGATAGATAGTAGAATAAGACTAACCTAAATCATGGGCCAACACCTAATTTAATCCAGCCTAGTATTAGTGTATTACAAAGTGCCTTATAAGATGGAAACAGATATATTTTTGATAATTAAGTTTTTGTCTTCTTATACTTGGAAAAATGCACTCGAAAATTACGAGATCCACACTGGATTACATGACAAACTAACTACTATACTAGCTTTCAGTAAACAGTAGAGAACAGTTGTGTGTAGGACAGGTTTATGCCGATTTATGGCATAGTTATTCTCGAAATATTATTGTTGGATAGCCACCCAACTGTCCTTGTTCTAGTTATAGTAAGTCACTATCTCAATCGATTACCAACACAAAGTATGTGTAACTAAACACATGCAAGCTATGGATTCATTCTACTACCATTCCATCTGCATGCATGTTTGTGCTACTACTAGCTAGGTTTCCAGTAGGAGTCCATGGACTAACCAATAGCTGGTTTTCCGGATGAACAAACAACCCAAAATTAGGAGGCAGGCACACACACACACACTAATTAATGCCCAAGCACTTGATCGGAGTTGAACTGATCTACGGATCACAACCTCTTCTCTATATGTGGCAGACCACATATCTCACTCTTTATCATCTCTCTCGACATTTTCGACATTTGCGATGCATGCCATGTCATCCGTGTGCATGCAAGAGAAAGAAAAGGACGAAAGCGAAAGCGCTTTCAGGCTTGGACAAAGAAACCGAAAGGCCGAGAAGGCATGCATATGCAGCAGACAATATATGTTGATGATATGTTTAAGGGAGAAGAAAGGTAACAAATCAACAGTGGCTGGAAGAATTTGCTGCTAATTACCTGAGCGGCGTTGATGGCGCAGTTGAGCAGCGTCGGCACGGCGCGGCGGCCGACTCGCACGTCCGCCTCCACCGTCAGCTTCTCCAGCCTCACCTCCACCTTCGCCGCCCCTACCCCCAACCTGCAAATCCACACACACATATATTGCCAATAATCCATACATCAATCTGATGAATTAACCATCGATCTTGCATATACAAGTTCTTTTTTCTAAGAAAGCAAAAGATCGATCATCTTGATTCAATTCTTGCATATATAGTTGCATGCATACATCTATTTACCTTTCCTTCTTCTCCCGGAGCATCTGGAGGAAGCCGCGGTTGTCGTCGTGGGTGAGCGGCGGCGACAGCCACCTCGTCTCCGCCGTGGTTCCTCCGTCACCAGTGAGCTCCACCGCCGCCGCCATCGCCGCCGACGAGGATCGATCGGATCGAAAGACGGACGTACGGCCGGCGAACACAGATCGATCAGTGCTAGCTATTATCTACTTGTGTCCTAAATGCATCTACAAGTATATACATGTAGATACACTGTTTGTAGGTTATGTAGAATAGATCGATCTAACCAAGCGAATGCAAGTAGATCGATTGAGTATATAAGAAGAGAAAGGAAGGAAAAGGAATTGAAGAAGCTAGACAATGTTTATGTAGCTAGCTTAAGCTCTGAATATGTAGAATTTTGAAGAGAATGTGGGTAGAGAGAAGTCGTATATATAGCGGAGTGTTTGGCTCTCAACAACAACGCCGCCGGCCTGTTTCTGTGCCTCCATTTAATTCCGGGGTAGCTTCTTCTCTGCAGGCAGCGTGTCTACCTTTTCTATTCATTCATACTTATTTTGCGATTTCTTCTCTCTTTAATTTCCTTTTCTTCCTAAACAATACTCGACTCAGAAACACACAGGAGTGCATAATATGCAGAATATTGCAGTTGACAGGCTAGCATTAATTTTATCTCTCTTTTAAATTTATCTTGTAGCATAAGAGATAAAATAATTAGCAATATATATATTTTGGATCTACTATGCTGCTTTAATCTTATCGCCACGTTCAAATCTAGGAAAGATGATTTACATATATTTACAGGCAGATAAAAAATTGGACAAGTTATATATGCTAATGTTGTCTGGTCGGAGTACGTCAGCAAAAATATGTTATCTTAGCCTTATCGGATATATAATCTCTACTAGTAGTAAATAGTGTCCTACTATGCAAGCACCATGCAACAATGATAATATCGTTGCATGTTAATTATATGATGATATATGATATATTTTTTACCCATGTTTTGGCCGGCCATATCGGTACATGAATGCTATGCGCGCTTTCTTTTTTTTTTCTTTCTTTCAACTAGCATGATGTCCCGTAGATTACGAGGCCAGCATCCTTATATTTTCTCTTATATAATAGAATATATATTTTCTTATTTTATTCTTAAAATATATTAAAATGATAACATAATTTTAATTTTGTACTAATTTTACCAAACTGCCAATGTATAATATTTATTTGTATTGTATATACGTGATAGTTATTAATTATTTTTAGTATTAAATTTTAGTTATTTCTATATGAACTTTAGACTCTTCTTCTAATATTCTTTATTTTTTAATTCTGAATTTTATTACTTATAAAATTTATTCCTATATTTCTTATTTTAAAATTTATAATTTCAGTTATTTAGTGCATATATTTCTTATTGGAAGAGGAGTCTAGTGAGAAAGAAAGATAGTTGACATTCATCACACCCATGCTAACAAATTTAGGTCCGCTATGTAAAATATATAAACTACAATATAGTCCTTAGAAAGGAAGATAGTTGACATTTACCACTCATGCAAATAAACTTATGTCCACTATGAAAAATATATAAATTAAGTTTTAGTTAGTACTCAATAATTAACTGAAAAATCATAGATGCGTGAAGACTTGTCGTGATGAAAAAAAACTCATTATGTGCACGCTTTCCGAATCGCTAAATAGTGTATTTTGTAAAAATATAGAAAATTTACTTTTAAAATCATATTAATCAAAATTTCAAATTTAAAGTAGTTAAAGATCAATTAATCATGTGCTAATGGCTTACCTTGTATTACGTTCTTCTCAATCCTCTCTTTTTCTATCCTCTCAAACACACCCTAAGTAGTTCTTGATTCCATAACTGCTATCTTCACACTAATCCAATCTAATGATTAAAAAAAATATATATTGATGATGTGGCTTTGTGTATGTGTTACTTTATAGGAATTAATATTTTTAATAGGTATAAACTATATAGGAAATATATATGCGTGCGTGAAGAATGGAATGGACTTGTCTCGCCGACATGACTCGATCTCTCGGTAGTTATTCGAGATATCAACGAACCAAGCTAGAACATGAGCATCACAGGTTGGGAAAAGCAAGTGCCTCTGCATGTGAGATTCCTTAATCAGACGATCGGTGGCAATTACTAAGGCATCATGTAGTACAGTAGTAGTATATATAGAAATTAAGTTGAACTTTTCTCAATGATCAACAATTTGCGCGTGCTCTAAGGTACGTAGAAATATGCATATCCATGTATATATTATATATTCCAAGATAGTACGTATGGTAAACTGATTCGATCATATGTTCAATTGATCATTATACAGTATGCACGTCCACATGGATTATTTCCAACGGATCATATCAACTGAGATCATTACGGTCGTATGGATATATATCCACATGGATTATTATTCCCAGCTGACCGACATATATACCGGCTCCATAACCTACAAGGTAGTGTGTGTTATGTACTTATGAATTTCTTTTTTTTTTACTCTACATACGCTAGACTCTTCTTCCAATATTTCTTTTTCTTTAATTCAAAATTTTCTTTATTTGTAAATTGTATTTAATTTCTATATGAACTATAGGCTTTTCTTCCAATATTTCTTATTTTTTAATTTTTAATTTTCATTATTTCTGATTGTATTTTTATGTGGACTCTAAACTTATCTTTCAATACTCTTTATTTTTTATTTTTTATTTTCAGTTACTTCTAAAATGTATTTTTATATGGAATTAAATGTATTTCTATATGGACTCTAAACTCTACTTTTAATTTTATTATTTTTATTCTAAATTTTAATTAAAAATTCTAAATTCCTATATGGACTCTATACTCTTATTCTAATATTCCTTATTTTTTTTTATTTCGAATTTTAATTATTTCCTACTTGTAATCCTATATGGACTCTATATTCTTCTTCTAATATTCTTTATCTTTTTCATTCCGAATTTCAGATATTTCTAAATTGTATTTCTATATTGACTCTATACTCTTCTTTCAATATTCTTTTTTTAAGTTCCGAATTTTAGTTATTTCTGAATTGTATTTCTATATGAACTATAGCCTCTACTTTTATTTTCTTATTTTTTAATTTCGAAATTTCATTGGTTCTAAATTGTATACCGGTATAGACTCTACTCTACTGTTTCAATATTCATTATTTTTAATTCCGAATTTCAGCTATTTTAAAATTGTATTTCTATATGGACTCTATTTTTCTTTTTCTCTGATTAATATGAGAATTTCTAGACAGCGTGTCTACCTTTCTATTCATACTTTTTTTTATTTCTTTTCTCTTTAATTTCCTTTTCTTCCTAAACAATGCTCGACTCAGAAACACATAGGAGTACATAATATGCAGAATATTGAAGTTGACAGGCTAAAATTAATTTTCTTTCTCTTTCATCTTATCTCCACGTTCAAATCTAGGAAAGATGATTTACATATATTTACAGGCAGTTAAAAAAATTGGATAAGTTATATATGCTAATGTTGTCTGGTCGGGGTACGTCAGCAAAAATATGTTATCTTAGCCTTATCGGCTATATATAATTAATCTCTACTAGTAGCAAATAGTGTCCTACTATGCAGGCACCATGCAATAATGATAATATCGTTGCATGTTAATTACTATATGATATATGATATATTTTTCACCCATATTTTTGCCGGCCATGTCGGTACATGAATGCTATGCGCGTTTTCTTTCTTTCTTCAAATGTAGGGAAACATGACACGATCGATTTTGTACAGAAACTTGATATATGTGCAGATGAGGGTGACACGTGTACGGTGTAAAAAGGACAAAATTTGGAGCCCCATTGGCAGGGAATAATAATACCGATCTGGATCACAATTTTTTGACGGCCAAGCTAGGAAATTGCAACATGGATAATTTGTTTCCAAGAGCCGTACGTCTCGTTTCAAAGACTGCCTAATTTGTTTTGACAAAATCAGCTCGAACTTAATAACTCTTTGCTTCAAAAGGTGCCCATCAGAGCTAGCATATAGAATGGCCTACTGCTATTAATATATGCTTTGATTAAAACATCACACCATGAATTCATTCCAACGAAACAAAAACTGAAAGGTGGGATAGAACTAAACTTATGAGCAAAACTTTTGGATATATGTGTCCTAAGTGACTACAGAAGAAACTACATTAAAAATATTCTAAAATCAACCCAATAGTATGGTGGTGTAGATAAAAATTCTAAAAGGGATAGAACTTACTTATTAGCAATTTGCGGATCTAATCTAGTTAAAGGAACAGAAATGAACTTATTTATCGACTAATGTTAGATACTAGTAGTACGTAATACTTTTGTTTTGGACGAAAGAAAATAACTCTGATCATGGCTTATTAAAATTACTATATACTCATATTTTTATTTACACTCTTCCCAATGGTCACAGTGTCATTGCATCATCACAGTAATTAATGGAGCATATATATTTATAGGTCACGGGTCACCCAGACAACAACTTAAAGCGTGCATATAGACATGTCCAGGATCGACCAATTGCATTTTCTGAGATGTTTCAGAGAGGTATATGCATGCATGCTTATATATAGTACATATGTGTGTATATATATACTACAATTTGCTTTGTTTATTTCACCTTGAGTCCTCGAGAGATCGAGCTGTATGCTAGCTAGTAGTCAATTTGGACTGTAGATGTCACTGTGAACTGAGATGATCACTAGTAATAATTGTCGAGATATATATTGTCTCATATATCAAATCAAGCAACTATGCCTGCTTGTGCTGATCGAGATCGCTGCCATGAAAAACGACACATCAACAGCGTGCCATGCTCTCCTAACATGTTTCCACGAGCTCATTAATTAAGTGATCTCTCCTCCACTGGCTAGCTAGCTGGCCTTTAATTTCACATATACATGATGAATCCAATAGTCGTATCTACTAGTAATAACTGGTATACAAGGAGAATTAATCCAAATGCATGGGCTAACATTTATTTGTACGTTCATGGTGCAGTGGCCCAAACGATTGATCGATCGATGTATCAACTATATATGAACCGATTCGATCTCGATTGGTAGGAGTTGCATGTCACTATACACATACGTCCACTTCTTGATCCATGAATTTGCTCA